TCTTCTAGTTCTTCAGTATATGCTTATCTAAATTCTCAAATAGCTCATTTTAAAAATGGCAAATGAAAACTTCAAGTTTATCATGTCATGTGCTATCTCTTATGGCATAAATTTTTGCATTAGTAAACTTTTGGTTTACTATGATATATGATGTAGTACAAATTGAAAAATAAGGTGGGTAACTTCTCATATACATATTATTTTACCCCCTATGATTGTGGAAACGTGAAGCTTTTCAAACTTCCAATCATTTGTAGTTTCAATATAATAGCCAGTTGTATTAGTAAACTTCGGGTTTACTATAACATATATTTTGACCACAATCATATAATATGAATGACAAATTTGCATATAAGCTCTTCGGGAGCCTTCAATTTATTTTCCACAATCAAATATTATTCAGACACTACTTGTATCATGTGTCTTCTAGACAAACGGTTAGCTATTCAAGAGTTTTTGATATATTTTGTACTATCAAATATTGCTCAGACACTTCTGGTATCATGAGAGAAAATTATAATCAAATGAACAATAGAAAGAAAATACTAAATTTATAAATGTATGAAATTAAGAATTTCATACCACCAATTTTTGTGACAAATGTCTCCTTCAGGGAGAAATGCCATTAACATCTGAATATTTTATATCAAAGCGGCAACCACATAGTCATTACATCCTTCAGGGAAAGATACACGAGTTGTTATTTCCTTCGGAGACTCAGTAATTAACCATAATATACTGATGTGGTTGTAGTAGAAAGCATTCTACAAGAATACTTTTGCCTTGGAATGATATTTAATAAAATTTTTCAAGATATTTTACGTACAACGAGTACGTGCGGCAATGATCTTTATATCACAAAAAATAAGATTGATATCCTTTGTTATTCTACCCATTCAGGAGGTGAGTTGTGGTATTTACATAGCTTTATAATATTTTCCTGCTTCAGGAGGAAATTTCAATTGTTTACTACTTCAGGGGAAAATTTGAAGTACGAAAGATTAAGGATATGTTCTCTCAATCGTATTACCTCTTCTGGAGGTGAGTTGTGTTATCTTCACAATCAAGAGTGCGTTCATATTCACAAGCTTTATTAACATTGTCACATTCACTTCTGGGAATTAATTAATATTTATCAAAGTTCTCATCCTTCAGGGAATGGAACATAATTATCTGAACGCGCATTAATCACACAAATTGTGTGATGTCTTAGAAGCTCCTTTACGATAATGCTACTTCAGGAGAAAATCGAGGCATGCATTTACTATAGAGAAATTTTCTCTAACTTATCTTCAATTGTAACCATGGAAAGCCTAAATTATCACTTCTGATGGTCATAGGCATATACCACTTTTGGTGGTTATCAAAATTTAGTTACAATAAGATATGCGAAACATAACCACTTCTGGTGGTTGTATATTTCTTGCAAACTCTGCTGGAGCTTAAGTGGATCTAACAATGTTATCCACTTTGTAATCCTTTATTAAGATAATAAGGATGAAAACAAATACCAAAATAGGTGTTGTATACGTAACACATAACCAAGCAGGCGATGCTAAAGATACTAAACCAAATATAAATAAAAAAGCTCAAATTACTTTACACAAATTTGACCACTCCGGACGTAAGTGATATCCACATAACTACTGTCGAGAAGAAAAGTTCATCACCTCAAGTTCCACTTAATATATCAATCTTCTAGATTCAGCAGCGTTAACTTCATTATCACCTGCCATGACTGCAATTGAAGCACTAAACCAATTCGATCTTTAGAGTTAAGTGCATCGAAAAGGATAAAAGGAAATTGAGAATAAAGAGAACTTAAAGGATTAAGATTGATACAAAGGTGATTAATGAAGAAAAAACAGAATCTTGGGCTTGCTTCTCTGTCAACGATTGGGAAGTGGAAGACAGTGATGAATTTTTCAGGACAGCGGAGGAGGAGATTAAAGATTCCCAAGCACCGATTAGTATGAATCCGCCACTAGCTAAGTATAAGAGAATAGCCCCATTGTTGACTTTGATTTTCTTTGCTTTCTAGTTTTGAGTTTCAAACAACACGAAGATAGAAATCAAATTCGAAGTAAGTACTCAAAATGACAGAGTCTCATGCTGATAACGTGTTATAAAATAAAGACTTTAAAGTAAAGAAATCAAAGACAAGTATAGAGAGAGAGATTGATATTATTCAACTTCAAACTGATGTACATAATGAACTGAAATCTCCTCTATTTATAGAAGAAAGGAAGCTGCTGTGTAAGCTGCTACTGCAAGCTGCTGTGTAAGCTGCTACTGCAAGCTGCTGTGTAAGTTGCTTGTAAGCTGCTACTGCAAACTGCTGTGTAAGCTTCTTGTAAGTTGCTTGTAAGCTGCTATTGTACCAGATATAGATAATCTTCTGCCGGGGGTAATATTTATCCATAACGGAGTACCGAAATGATAAGCTTCTTCAGGAAGCTTATTTACGACGGAGTACTAAATGAACATCCATAATATAATATATATTTATAACATCCTTTATCTAGTATAGTCTTATTAAGATAGTGAATACGGTTAAAAAGTGAAGGAGGAGCTACTACATTTTGACATCGAATGTGTAGCTAAGGTAAATATCGAATGATTTTAAGTGTTGTGTATGGAGAAATCCATAAACGGCCCCTCCAAGTTGTCCAAAACGGTCAGTTGAACACCTCAAGTGAGACTATTTCCAGTTAAACACTTCAAGTGGCTATTAAGTAGGTCAAGTAAACACCCGCGTACAGCAGGCCATATGCGTGAGTTATACTTGCCGATGACATGGCAAATGAACCAATCAAAAAATGACACGTGTAATTTTGCCATAAGAATTTGACACATTTAATTAACAAAAAAATACATTTAAAAAAGAAAAAAACTTCTTCTCCTAAACCAGCGTTCCTCCTTCCCCTAACTCTTCTTCCAAGCTTTCTCAAACCCTTCCCCTTACTCGTTGAACCCATGACCACCATTTCATCTGCAAAAAATTGGGCAAAGAAAAATTTAGATTGAACCTTGAAGGTTCTAATAACTGAAAATAAGAACACTGGATTTCATAAGAATCCAAAGTTAATTGCATTCATCATCTTTTTCCTTCTTCCAAGTTCCAAATACGTACGCCTCCCTCCATATTCATTTTCGACAATTTCAATCGGAAAAAAAGGTAGTAGGTCAGATCTGGAGCGGGAGTGAAGGCTGGCGGTCGTCACCATTTTTCGGCCTAGTCAACGGCGAAGGTTTTCCGGCGAGTTTGTTTGTTCTGTGCTTCTGGCATCTTGCTAGTCTTGGGCTAGTGGCGATAATAGTTTGAAAAAGTTGCAGAAAAAAATAGGGAGCGGGGTCGCCAACCGGCCGGCTCGTGGGATTTCCGGCAGCGGCATCGTCTGGCAAGTGAAAAGGGCAGAAAGAGAACGGGGGCGGCTGCCATGTCTTTGTTTCATTCTTGTTTTTCATCTATGGTTTGGTAATGTTTGCTAATTTTTTGTCGGAGAGTGACGGGGTATGGCATTGGTTTGCTTTGGATTTTCTTGTTTTTCATCTATGGTGAAAAAATTTTGAAGAAGGGGAAGTAAAGATGAAGGTATGTGGGTCCACAAAAATAAATGTTATTTTTTAAACTAAAGAGAAACAGAAAAGAACACAATTCATGTCCTTACGCGCTCAATTTGTAGTGAGACACAATTGATTTGGATGTCAGCGCAAAGTGTTTACTTGATATACTTTGTAAGTACTTGAAGTTTTTTACTGGAAATAATCTCAGTTGAGATGTTCAACTGACCGTTGTGGACAACTTGGAGGGGCTGTTTATGTATTTCGCCTTTGTGTATTAATGTGTTACCTACTGCAAACAAAAGAGAATGAGATGAATTGGTGATGGAAAGCACACTTCAACTCACATAATTCATAATCCCCCCCCCCCCCCTACCCATCCACCTCTCGCTGGATAGTTATTCAAAAGTCTAATGAGGAGAAATCATTTGCAACTTTTCCATGTTGTGGAGAGAATAGAGAAATTTCTTGCTCCATTCTTGGGCTTTGGGGCTCCCTATTCGCATTATTTTGGGTAAAAATAGCACGGTCTAGCCAATTTTCGGACTGGTCATTCAAAAATAGTCAGTGTTTACCAAGTCAATAAAAAATAGCCACTATTTTGCTGCAACAGAGACCGGTCCAGCATAATATACTGGAGTTCGGTGCACCTATGTATGAACTTCCAGCATATTATGCTGGAACTCCAACACATGGAAAGTTCCAGCATAATATACTGGAGATTCGAGCACTTTTGTATGAACTTCCAACATATTATAGTGGACCGGTATACTTTGCTGGAACTCCAGTATATTATGTTGGAGTTCTAGTGTACTTATGTTGGAACTCCATCATAATATGCTGGAGTTCAAGTATACTTATGCTGGAACTCCAGCATAATATACTGGCGTATTTTCCGGGTTTTGAACCGTGTTTTCGCTCAAATTTATCTTTACATGAAAAGTGGCTAAATTTCGATTACTTTTGAAACTGAGCTATTTTTGAACGACCACTTATAAATCTGACTATTTTTGAATTTCTCCCGACTGTCCCAAATATATGATTTGTTTGGAGATCTGATTTTCGATAATTCCCATATCCACGTGGCAATGGAAGTGGTCTGGCCCCATCTTGAGTGGATAGCCCATTAGCTTAGACTCTTAACTTTAATAACCTTGTTAAAACATTTTCTTCTCAAAAGAGGAAAATTGCTACTTCTAAAAGATACCTAGGCTGGTCGACTTGGCAATTGTTTATAATAAACTCTTATCTGTAGTTCTTATATTAGAAATAATTAAAGCTAGTTAATGAAAACATGGCTTAGAACTCTCAAATAATCTCTAAGGATAAAATATAATATAATATTAAGACTCAAAGAAAAAAAGTTGATCACACTTTACACCCTGTTAATTAGCCCTATAAATGTGTCCTACATAAGCAACTGCATCCAAGGGGAGACGTCAATTCATCCAACACCAACATATATACAAAGAAAACACACATTCTCTCGACCAAAAATCCATGGCAACTACTTCCACTATATTCAATCAAGAATTAATGGAGAACTTCCACTACTCAAGAAGACTACTTCTAATACCAACTACACTACAACAATACCACCGCGAGACCACCGTGGCGCCGCCTCCGGCAACCGGAATCAGCCACGACACAACAGATGATCAACCATCATTTGATGCAAATGTTGTGATGGTATTGTCTGTACTTATATGTTCCATAATTTGTTCACTTATCGTGAACTACCTAATAAAGTGTGCATTGAGATGCGTCAGCCGAGTAATGGAAGACTCATCCTCAAACCATACAAACCCTTCTGTAGCAAAGCTAGCCAATACAGGGATCAAGACAAAAGCCCTCAAAACATTCCCAGTTATAACTTACACTAGAGAAATATTGAAATATCCGGGGGTTGGCGCTGAGTGTGTAATTTGCTTATCAGAATTTGGAGTTGGAGAGAAAGTTAAGGTTCTGCCTAAGTGCAATCATGGCTTCCACGTCAAGTGTATCGATAAATGGCTGAATTCCCACTCTTCTTGCCCTACTTGTAGGCACTGCCTTATTGAAACTTGCCAAAAAACTGTAAGCGGAACAACTGCAATTCCAAACACTCAAGTATCTACCAATATTACAACATCGGCAGCAGTTCAAGAAATCATAATAGGGATTGAATCTCTCCAACGTGAAGCTGTTATATCTAACCATCTAAGTTAGTTAGAAAAATAGTAGTATCTAGAATCTTAGCTTTAGTTTTGTTTCTTTCTTTTTTCTAGCTAGGATGAGGCCAACGCCTGTGTACGTAGCTTCCAATGATTCTTTAGTTTTGCAAGTGTATACACTAATTAATTTTTATTTCGGGTTCTTTATTATACTTAGGGGCTTCTCCATCTATACCTGATTTTGGAGTCACAATTGAATCTATACCCACTTTGTAAAAAAATTTGCAAGCCTACTCACTTTTATGATCAACTTCAGACTTATCGGGTCTGAAGTTAACAAAATAGTCTGAAGTAAAAAAATTGCACTTCAGATGCACTTATGGCCAAATAGGTCTGAAGTGCAACCAATGGTTTCATGCACTTAGGGCCAATAAATCTGAAGTAAAAAATTGCTCTTCAAATAAAGCCAAAAGGTTTGAAGTGCAACAAACGTTTTCCTACACTTAAGTCCAATAAGCTTGAAGTGAAAAATTGCACTTCAGACACACTTAAGGCCAAAAGATCTGAAGTGCGACAAAAGTTTTTCAACGCTTAAGGCCAATATGAAGTGAAAATTGCACTTCAGATGAACTTTAGGCCAAAAGGTCTGAAGTGCAACTAACATTTTCATGCATGTCAAATTGGCCTGAAGTGCAAATTGCGCAGAAATAGAAATTTGTTCTTCGAATTTAAGAGTCAAATATATAATTTAATACCTAAATCTACTCCAAATGAGCTCAAATTTGAAACATAACCTCCAAATATCATCAAGAACAAACCCCAATCATCAATTTGTCAAAATAACAATGAATCTAGCGAACCTATTTTACAATTTAGAAAAAGAAAAAGTAGAAACCCTAAGCAGTAGTAAAAAATGAAGCGCGACAACAGCTCACCACTGTAAAATATCATAAACTACCTTAAAATATGTTCAGAAATACCATATAAAATTACTGTTACCCGAAGAAGAAGAAAAAGAAGAAAGAGGAGCAAAAGGCCTGAAGTTGTTTAAACATTGGGTACAAGTTTTAAAAAATAAAATAAAAAGTGAGTACGGATTAAATGGGGCGATCAAGTAGGTCGTCCCGTGCAATTTTTGCTTATGCTTATGTTATGTTCTTTATTAAAAATGGCTGAAACTTATTAGGGGGCGGCTATTTGTTTAATAGGGTAGGCCGAATGGCCATTTTTGCAAAAAATAGTCGTTGGTCAACAGACTTCCCAGATTTTGACCGTTGACAACAATCAGTTTTTGTTTTTTTTCTTAAGAAAAAATGTGTAAAACAGTTACCGGATTGGGTCGGGCTGGAACCCGGTAAACATATGATAACTCCTTAACGGGCTAGCCGGGTTTCGGGGCATCGGTAACCAAAATAAGCCCGTCCTGTTCGGACGAACCCCCATACCCTAGCCAACCTGTCCCACTCCTTTCTGGACCGGCTGACCTGGATAATACCGGGTCGAACTGGGTTGTTAATGGGCTTGCCCGACTTGTTTAACACCTTTAATCTCAATCATTCCACCATATTCAATACTAAAACTTCGACAAAAACCGACCGTGGTCGTCGGTCGATCAAAAAACTAGTCGAATAACTGATCGAAATCGGTTAGTTTTTCAAATTTTCTTTTTTTTTTTTTAAAATCGACCAATTTCGATAGGCTAAAGTAATTATAGCTAGTACTTAATGTGCAACAAAGAGAAAGAGTAGCAACTAAAGCATTAACAAAAGCACTAAGCATCACCTTATCTTAAGCTTAGTCGTCCTAATCATCCTATCTTAATTAGTAAAAACTAAGAGCTAAACAAAAAGGGAAGCAACGTTCAAATATAAGGATATCATTGAAGTTCGTGGAAGAAAACAACCCATGTCAGTTCTACACCTTCGAGCTCGAGCCTTCTATTTACCACCATTTTATCTTTAAAAATAATACTCCGTACTTAACATAGATTTTATCAAGTACTCATATATCACAAAGATTATCTTGCTTTAATTACAAGCCACAAGAATATACATAAGCTTAAACTTAACTCCAAATTGATCTGGTGCCTTGTGATCATCATACAACATACAACAAGTGGGGCCCACTAGTCAATCTAAATCCGAATTGGAAAAAAAAAAAAGAATTGTCTCCAAATCTACAAGGATATATATTTGTGATTAGCTAGAGATTAGGTGGCATCAGCAAATATTAAATAGAAAAATGAGAATAGAACCTGAAATCTAAAGAGGGGAAGAACAGAAAGTTCGGGACACTAGATTTAATTATCCTGCTGGACGATGCAAATTAGGTCTCTTCTTTTGTGGTAATTTATAGGAAAAAAGTGACTTTTAAAAAAAGAAAAAACTTTTTTACTGTTATGGATCGTGAATAGTGAAAGCGAAGGTAAAAGAGTTGACATCCATATGTACAATCAGCTAATTATACATATGATGTTGACATCCATTGTCTTTGATGGTCAACAAAACTACAACTCATCATAGTATACGAGATAAAGTAATTGATTTGTCCTTTAAATCAAAGTAGAAACAGGCAAACATTTGATCCAACAGGAGAGTAGTCTCTCCAGAATTCCAACCAAGTGGGACTAGGTAAAAAGCTAAAGCAAGGATTTGGTTTAGTGCACGGAATCTACAGGATTACTTACAAAAAGAGCTAGTGGAAAAGCTAAAAAGGTACCAAACATTGAAAAGCGAAGATATGGTTTCAAGTTTTTAGTCGTGGGCGCGGCCTCACCTATCTACCCATCTCCTAGCACGTGGCAGAAAAGGTGGGGGTGGTGCATCTGGAGCTATCGATCGGGGAGGGGGCTGTATCTGCAAGAATCGCTCACAAATCCAAACCTAATATTGATTTGTGGACGTAAATTTGAGTAATTTTTACTATCTCTATGATAATCATGAAAAGAACTGATAATGTTATCACCTGCAGTAGCGGAATAACTCCAGCAACGTCTCTTACGCTACCCATGGACGCCCTGTACATGGGTAAGTGATCTAACCGCTCCAGATGATGCAAGAACCGCAGGCTAACAAGGTTTCCTGAGGTGTTCGGGAAAAGAATACCACCAAATATCATCAAGATCAACAGCCTCGACTGCTGCTCAATAGCCTCAAGTGGTGAGTCATCCGTGATCTCCTCGTGCAGCGCCTCCAGATGCTGCATAATAGGCGATAGCTACAATCTACTAACGCAACTGATACCAGCCTACCCTGCCGGCTGGAATCCAGTGAGCCTTTGTAGCATCTGTAGATAGTCGAGCCTCAGATAATCCCTAATAGCAAGCGGATAGTGGACAGCCAAACCATCAACGGGCAACCCGAATAATACCTCCACGTCCTCTAGCGTGTTGGTCGCCTCACCGATAGGCAAATGAAATGTGTGAGTCTCAGGTCTCCATTGCTCGATCAGAGACGCGATCAGGGGCCAATCAAACTGCAACCGGCCGACCTCTACAATCCATGATGATGTCTGTAAATTGAATAATATTAATTAAAATATTATTCTCTTTAATCGTTTAACGTCCATAAATATATTGAAATATTTTTATAGTAATATTTAATTGATAATTTTTATACTATTAATTAATTTGATATAAAGTATTTATTTATATGTTATTTTTGTGGATTTTTTCACTAAATGTTGGCAGGGCTTTATGTTATTACACTGTATTTGTAAAATAAATTCTGGAAATATAAATGAATATAAACAGTAATGAATATAAACAGAAATGACATAAACCAATTTGAGCCCACTGAATTCACAGTGTTTCCTTAAGGAATTTAATCCCTTCCTAGTACCCAAGGTTATGGATTATTTCCTCCCAGGATAGAACGAATTACACACTGGTGTAGTGGTACTTCAAACCCCAGTGTTTCAGCGAACACAAAGTTCGGTAGCAAATCACACTTACTTTTTGCTTTGTTTTGATGCTAAAAGTATGCAGAAGAAGGAGAGGAAACTCAGAAAATTGTAGTTAAAATTCTGAGCAGAATAGTGTTGTATTTATAGCCAAAGTTGGGTCTCTTCAGAATGGCTGTTTATGCAAAACGCCCACAACATAAATGCCATTACATAAATGGCCATTTACTCTGTTAGAATAGTCATGTAAATAGGAGTAAATAAATAACCCTAATCCAATATATGTTAGGAGTAGGACATGTTATGTGTGTATATATATAGGGCTCATTGTAACATATGTATATACATCAATAATATATTTTCTCCCGTGCTTTCTCACATGGTATCAGAGCTTTAGTGAGAAACATATCGCTGTGCATCATTCCAGCGACTTCCGGGAAGAAAGAACTCAGTCACCGTGCAATTTTCCGGTGACCTAAGTGACTTATTGCGTCAAAGTCACTAATTAACAGTGTTGTGCAAAATCCAACACCACCACAAGGTTCCCAAGAGAGATCCGACCAAACCCCAGAAAAAATCACCGGAAAATAGCCCTCCACGCGCCGTCACGCGCCTGTCGGAACTCTGCCGCCGGCGGCGCGTCTGTCCCACGCGCCGGCGCGTGAGGCCTCTTCCGGCCATTTTTCGGCTTCGCTTCTTCAGGACAGTTGGATCGCCCTGCAATTCCGAGCCTGTCCATATTTTTATTTTTTAATTCCGACCACTTTGAGTTTTTCCGGCGACTACACTGATTTTTCCGGCAGCTACAGTACTTTTCCGGCAAACACAGTGTTTTCTTCATCTGTCTCAGAGAATTTTCAGTTGATTCTTTTT